TCACCTTCTCGATGATTGTCTTTCCATGGAATAATTCGGTGAAGTTAATATTTGCAAAGTGTGCATTCATGTCCTTATAGTTGGCACGCTTGAAATTGAATGCTTTTGTTTTGATGTTGGCCTCGGCCTTGTTTCCATGCCACTCAAATGTGGCTAATATCGGTGGATGATGATCACTTCCGTCAGTGCGTTAACTTCATTTACACGCTCAATCGAAATGTTGGTGAAATCATTAGTAAAGAACAAGTCCAATAGTCGTTGTTTTGAATCATTACGAATTTGATGGTAGTCATGAGTTTTGGGACAGTTTGCCGGTGCAGATGACTTCACAGACTTGACCTGAAATTCGGTGGCTTTGATGTTCTTGGGCCCAATACCTGCCGCTATTACCTTGTCAAAGTGTTGGCGAGGAACATCGAGTTTGAATGACACGAATGACAACTCCATTTTGTTGTCTTTCTTCACGAGCTTGGTAATTTTGAAATCACGTGTCAAAGGTCGGACAGTTTCAATGCTATTCAAGTGATTAATAATGTCGGCAGGCTCGGTTGTCGGTAGAAATTCGGTTAAATAAACCGAGCGCATCAATACAGTATCAACGGGCTTTGAATTTGCACCGTTTGGTCCACTGTTGCTGGCATCACCACAAGGCAAATACAATAGACGTCAACAGCGAGTACAACTACCATTTGGTTTGACGTTTTGCTATTAAGTTAGTTTAAGTAGCTTAAGTACTGAGTTTCATGTCAAGTCTACTATTAAGTCTAAACCTTAGACATGAAGCTCAGTTCTTTCAATGATTTCTACAAAAATCAATAGATGGCGTTAGGGGTCTAGCATTTGCCTTGTGGGCATCACGACTAAAAACCAATTTGCACAGCGGTGAAGTGTCACTTTGCTCTTCATCTGAAGAGATCAGTTCTTCCGAGTCAAGTCTGGGCCGCTTGCTTTTATTCCGCCGTGAAATGTTTAATGAATAAATTTCATTTTGCAAGTCTCCAAGCGGTAAACCCGATTTTGACACGTTGTCCGATATTTGCTGCTGAATTTGGGTTGGTGCCGGAGTTTCATCCATTGGCTCAGTACGTGAGTTTGCCGAATTATCGGCTAACTCACGGAGCTAATTTCGTCAGAATAAAGATGTTTTAGCTGGTTTATTTTGTTCCATATTGGCTCCAGCATTGTCAACAGCTCAGCGATTTGGCTTTTAACCTCACAGTTCGATGTACACATGTTTACAGTCAGTCAGTAGGCAACAACAATAACAAGTAAACAGAACGAAGAAAAACTTGAAGAAATTATACACAAAAATAAATTTCGAACGAAAACTTTATATTGCTGAGGTAAAACAGGACTTAAATTTTTAATTTGATGTAAAATATCGTATAATTAAGACGAAAAACAATTTAAAAACAAACAAATTTGTTGAAAATAGACGGAGAAAAAAAAAAGTAGACGTCCAATTTGACAGGTGTTGCCATATTGATTGGATATCCGCTCGCTAAACACATCAACTTTGCTCATTTAGTGATTCGTACTAGGTGGATTGAAAAGTCGGACTTTTTGAATGAAAACACATTTTTTCGCAAAATTTCATTTTATTTCTCAATATAGGCTCCTTTTAGCACAATACAGCGAGCCCAACGATCTTCCAACTTTTGGATGCCTGCTAAATAGTACGATTTGTCCCAAAATAGCTATCTGTTTCGAACTCGACTTCTTCATTGTTGTAAGAACGCCTTCCACAAAGCCATCTTTTGAGGTTTGGGAACAGGTAGTAATCACTGGGGGCGAGGTCAGAAGAATACGGCGGGTGCGGAAGCAATTCGAGGCCTAACTCGTGCTTTTTGGCCATTGCAACCATCGATGTGTGCGATCAAAAGAGGATTTTTTTCTTCTTCATATGGGGCCGTTTCGATGCAATTTCGACGACCAATCGATCCAACAATGCAGCATAATATGCGCCAGTAATCGTCCTTCGTTTTTGGAGGTAGTCGATGAAGATTATTCCGTGCGCATCCCAAAACAAACTGGCCATTACCTTCCCCGCCCATTGTTGCGTTTTTGGCCCCTTTGGCGGCGGTGAACCATGTTCCGTCCACTCTCTGGCCTGTTGACTGGACTCCGGAGTGTAGTGAATTTTTACTATTTTACTGATCACTTTAATTGCGATAGTAATATTCAACTAAAAAAACTCACTCCGGTTGCCGTTAAAATAGGCCAAATTGGCTTGAGAAGTGGTTACACGAATGCGTTTCAGCAAACGCGGCACCCATCTTGCGCATAGCTTATTCATATGCAAATGTTCATGCAATATGTTAAGCACCCGTTCATATGAGACGTTTACAGTCTCAACTAACTCACGCACTTTCATTTTCGGATGATTTAACACCAGATCATGTATTTTGTCTATCATTTTTGGGGTAGTAACCACATTTGGACGACCTGGGCGAGCTGCGTCTTCGGTGCTCGTGCGACCACACTTAAATTCAGTAAACCACTTGTGGACCATTTTATGAGATGGTGCGGAGTCCGGATAATACTTTTTAAGCGCCATTCCGATCTGAGCGATGGTTTTTCCACGCAGAAAATAGTGTTTAATCAACACACGAAATTCACTTTTTTCCATGTTTACACAAATGTTTGGGGGTTGGTTGCTCGGATTTGGCTCCAATTTTGACAGCTGTCTTCTGAAGGATGGAACTTATCAAAAACCATTAGGATTTTGTATCAGTGTCTTCCTCTTATAGAAAAGTACCTGACATATCGATCCACCTAGTACTCCAGTACATACTTACGAAATCTCACATCAATATGTGGATCTGGCCAGTTTTGTGATCGCTTCCAGCACTAAAATTGACTTTATTGAAGTATGTTCTCTCAATTTCGAAATCCGATAAGAAATTCGGAATTTTCGCACCAGTTCGGTTCAGATTTTTTGGAATAAAAGTTTGTATATTTATTTTGAAATTATCATGATTTATCGCCAATTTTTGAAAAACTACAGAATGTTTAATTCCAGAGTAATTTTGTTGCGCCTATAACGTATGCCATTTTTAGGCTTATCAAAAGGTGTTGGATTCATACGTTTTGATCAGCGCTGTGAAGCAGAACGAGCCATTAAAGAACTTAATGGAACAATACCGAAGAATTCCAATGAAGCGATCACAGTCAAGTTTGCCAATAACCCAAGCAGTAATAAAACAATGGCACCATTAGCTGCTTATCTAACACCACAAACAACTCGTCGTGGATTTCCTGGTCCAATTCACCATGCAACTGGTCGATTTAGGTGAGAGTCGTCAATTTGTTGAACATCATTTCTCCGAACATAGCTATTTTCATTACAACTGAAATATTGACAATTGATAGATATAGTTTGGCATCTTCCAGATACTCTCCACTGACTAATGATATTTTGGCTAATTCAATGCTATCATCAAATCCAATAAATGGCTCGGGCTGGTGCATTTTTGTATACAATTTAGCACCAGAAACTGAAGAAAATGTTCTTTGGCAATTATTTGGACCGTTTGGCGCTGTACAATCAGTTAAAGTGAGTTTATTTTTTCATCTACAAAGTAACAATTATTAGACAAAATATATCTGAATATATATATGTTCAGGGATGAATGTGGGTCCACGTTTTACTAAAGATACAATTGTTTTTTCCGTCGAAAATGAGTGAAACTCGGGTCTAGTCTAATTTCGCATGAAAAGAATGAAAAGATAAAAGGAATTACATTCCCATTTAATCCCATAAAAGTGAATATTCATGACGTATACGTCGATTCGTATACGTCATGTCAAATATCATGTCAAATTCAAAAAACTTTTACAAAAAGTCCGTTGTGTATACTGTTCTAATTTGTTATTCTCAGCTACTCTCCATTTCTTTAATTAAAAAGATGCTTGTATTATTTACATTTCATTTCAATTTTTATCACGGAGGACGGTAGTCCGACAAGTGACTCTCCATAGACTGCATTTCAAG